GATGCGATCCCAGCCGACAGATAGCGTGGCACGCTCTCTGTCCGTGAAGAGCCGGAGCTGCTGATGACGCTCGGCGATAAGACCCCGACCCCTGCGGAGGAGAACTTCACTGCTAATCTGGCGTGGCGACTTGTCAGGGCTCAGGTGGATCCGACACCGTGGGCAACCAGGGACCTCAACCGTGAACTCCTTCCAGACGCCCTCGGAGCGCAGAGAGCCGATGACCTTCGCCGCCATCCTGGACGCGACGGCCACCAAGCCTTTGAAGCGGACGTGGAACTTCTTAGTCGGCACCGCGCCGACGGGAACAATGTCGTAGAGGTCGTCGGCCAAGCCCAGGGAGGCGATCCATGGCTTGAGCTCGGCTTCGACACAGGCCGTGGTCGTTGGCCGCTGGGCCATCGCCACAACCAGCGTGGAGTCCACCTCCCTGTCGAAACCCTGCGACTGGGTGAGTGGTGCACGCGGGCGCTGCTCTGCCAGGTGGAGCTCCTTCTTGAGCGCGTCCATCTGAGTCTGTACTTCCAGCAGCTGAGCCTCCACCTTCGCAACCCGCCCATCCGTCTCAGAGATCTGTAGTTGCTGGGCATCCAGCTGCGACTGCAGGCGGCGGGTGGTGTTGTCGAGCTGAGGGCGCACGATCGAGAGAATCTTCTGGTCCAGGCCGGCTGGTTGCTGTGCAAGTTGTGCACGGAGCTTATCCAGCAGCTCGAGGGTGGGCTTATTCTGGTCTTCGATGTTCTGCTTGATGGTGGCCGTGAGGGACCTGCAGAGGTCGTTGGCCAGCTCACCTCGCATCTTATCCAGCATGTCGGCACAGCACTGCTTGATGTAGTCTTCGGAGGCGTCGTCGTCGTCATCCACGAGCTGCGGCATGTCGTCATCCTCGGCACCTCCTGCTGACCGTCCATGATGGGGGAGAGCACGTCGTTTGTGAGCAGCGCAACTAGCGATCCGAACAGGAGCACAACCTTTGCCCTTGCCAGCCTTGAGCTCCTGGGACGGGAAGGTCGGCGCAAGCTCCATCTGCTCCACCAGAGAGGCGGGGATCTCACCAGCGGGAGCGCCATCAGCCATCACGAGTGACGGCGAGAGGGCGGGAGGTAAACAGGCGGGGGCCCAACTCCCGCAGTGAAGGCACAGAAGGACAGCCAGGCACAGAGAGATTGGGCTGGAGAGTGGCCTCAAAGCAAAACCTCCCTCGCGCTCACATGTCGCCCCGAGAGACTCGCGGTCGTCGGGACGGTTCATTGCCTTGAGCCAAAATCGCTACTGAGGAGGAGGAGGAGGAGGGGGGAGGGCGCGCTCCTGGAACTCCTCGAACAGCTCCTCCACATCCCTCCCAAACTGCGCCCTCAGCGTCCGCCGGGAGACCTCCACGGGGTGGCTCGGCGCGTCAGACCTGGAGGCGCCGCGAGAGGCGCGCGGAGACAAAGAGGGAGGAAGGGGGAGGTGCGAGGAGGAAGAACAGGAGGGCTGAAAATCGAGAGGATCGAAAGGATCGAGAGGAGGAAGGGGAGGAGGAGGAGGAGGAGGAGGAGGAGGAGGAGGAGGAGGAGGAGGAGGAGGAGGAGGAGGAAGAGGAGGAGATTCCGTAGCCCTCTTCGCTCAAGTAGTGCCCCGAGGCAGCTAACCACGAGAGCCGCTTCCTCGATCCCCAGGGAGCACCGCGCAGCGCGGCCCCTGTGCCTTGCGCCCGCAGCTCGTTGCCGTTCTGGGTCCTGGGCCGCTGTGTAGGCGCCCGTCAGACAAGCTTACATTATCGAAGGAGTTGACATCTCTTCCCGGGCGGAAGGCGGCGAAAGGCCGGCGGACGTAAAACGGGGGCGGCTCCACCGGCGAAGACAGAAAATGCGCTCCGAGAGATGCTTCCATGATCGGCCACGTGGGGGTGCCGCTCTTGCGAGCGTCGGTACCCTGGGCGTGTTTTCGCGGGAAGGCAGTGGGGCAGAACCGCCGGGCACCGCAGCAAGAGGCCAGACCTCCGGTCCACCTGCTCCAGGCGACCCTGCAGGCAGCTATCGCCGCGGCCTCGGACGCCAAATCGAGAGCGTCGAGGCGATCGGCGCGTGGCCTTGGAGGCCCAGGATCGGCAGCGATACCAGCGCAGCCCCATCAACGATGCACAAGTTCAAGCCTTGGTGACAGCACGCGGGCATCCTACAACCCTTGCGCGGTGGCGGGATTGGTCAGAGGCCACTAATTACCATTTGAAGGTCCCCTCCAAGATGTTTGTTACCGCGCAGTCCCCCCCGCGCTGGGGGCATCGAAATCCCTTTCCAAGAAATGCAGACGGGGGCCAAAATCCCGGGATACAAGACAAGTCCTGGGCGACCCAAACCGGCGATGGCGGAAGACGAGAACAAGAGAGAGGGCATTTAGAGACCCAAACATCCAAAGTCTCGAGTGTCTCAAACGTCCGGTATCCCAGAGGCTCCGCTCTTCATCCTGGGCCGTTTCTTGACGGTCCAGGGCCCAGCGAGGGCCCCCCAGAGGCCGAAAACTGTGAAAGACCTTCCGCATCGAGTTCCTCGAGACATTTGAGGTCTGGGGAGGCTTGGGGGAGAAACAGAGAAACACAAACACAGAGAGAGAGAGAGAGGGAGAGAGCTGGAGGAAGGTATAAGGAGGATAAGTACGCGTGAATAAAGGAGATGCACACAGACGGCGGCCAGCGACACCACGCCGGCGATAGAGGACCAGTGCCAACGTCGGACTTTCCTTGTCTACTGCCTTACGCTTGGCGGCGCCCACGAGAGAGTGGCGCGAGGGGGGCGGCCTTCCATGAAGGCTCCTGGCAGGGGAGCTTCACATAGAAGCCCTCCTGGCTTCTAGGATGCTTGTTGAAAGCCGCCAGGCCCTTCTGATCAGGGGCCTGCCTTCTAAGAAGCTCCCCGCTCTCTCTCTGAAACCCAGCCCCCTCGTGCCACCCTACTGTGGGCGCCACCATACACCTCGGTCATGGGGCGAGCATGCGACGCACAGGGTTCGCAGAACAAGCGGCTGGCGATCATGCGGTCGACAGTCGCGGAGAAAGAGAGTGCACCGAGCGCAGGGGAGGGGGCCTCAGCTTGCCCAGCGTCGTGATGACGTCGGGCGGGAACCTCAGCGGACCAAGGGTGGAGCGGCCGTGCGTGGCAAGTGGCAGCACCCAGGCGGCTCTGCAAGAACACAGCAAGATCACTGGCACATACCTCGGACAGTTAACTAGCTCCTACAGGAAACTCATTTGTAATTCTGGCCGTTTCCAATTCTGGCCACGACATGCTAATAGCCCCATGGCGAGCGAAAGCATGGTTCTGGGGTAGCCCTGGGGACAGTGACATGACTGCCCCCGGGTAGCCTTGGGGCCGAGCATGAATGGCAGCAGTACGCAGCAATAGCGGCAGCATCAACAGCAACACCTGCCGCGGCAACAATATCGGGGAGACACGTAAGACTCGGGTACGGGGGACTCGGGTTGGCCCGACGGGGCCATCATAAAAATGACGAGGCCCAATCTGAAATTTGACGCGAGCTCCCGCTGCAGACATCCCACCAAAACTGGACCGTCAAAATCCAGGACGCGCTCATCAAAAAAACGTCGGCAGACCCGAGTTCCGGCTTAATTACTCGGGTCTTGCGTTTCCCCGACAATAAGAACACCAATGATCTTGCTTCGAGCGACCCCCACCCCAGAGCGCGAGGCGGGAGTCACCCAGGGAACACCGGCACACTCTGACCTGGCGGCCGCCGCATGCTGGCGTCATTCGTCGAAGGCACGAGGCGGCATACTCGGGGAGCGCCCGCACACTTGGGGTTTGCCGGCCGTGGCGTGCGGGGCTTGCGAGGTGGGTCGAGGGACCCTGTTTGTACATATAGCAACCCCCACCTGTCGGGCGGGGAAGAGAGTGGCAGGATGAGCAGCCACATCAACTTGTGCTGGAGAGGCTGGTCCCAAGCTGCCAGCGGACCAAAACAGTCTGAGGGAAACGACGGCCGATGATGGCCACGGTGGCCCGATCGCCCCGCCTCCAATCCGAGGCCCGAATATCTCCAACCTCCCAGAATCCCAGACCCCGGGAGGCAATGTATATATGTATGATCCCGGGCTCCGGGCTCACGCCCCGCCCTCCCCTCAGGATGCGATGGGTCACAGGGTCCCTCGGCCCCCCCCCCTGATGGGATGGGGGGGGACGACGACGACGACGACGACGACGACGACGACGACGACGACGACGACGACCACGACGACGACGACGATGACGACGGCGACGACTACGATGACGACGACGACGATCACGACGATAACGACGATGACGACGACAGAAACGACGACGACGACGACAACGACGACGACGACGACGATGACGACGACGACGACGACGACGACGACGACGACGACGACGACGACGACGGCGAGGACGACGACGGCGAGGACGACGACGACGGCGACGACGACGACGGCGACGACGACAACGACGACGACGAAGACGACGACGACGACGATGACGGCGACGACGACGACGACGACGACGACGACGACGACGACGACGACGACGACGACGACGACGGCGGAGGCGGCGGCGCCGACCTCTGGAGCCCTCCGACGACGACGACGGCGACGGCGGCGACGACGACCTCTGGAGCTCTCCTGGAGCACCACAGTACCACGCCACACACGTCACACCCAGAGCACCACACCAGACCCACGGGGGGGGGGCGGGGGGACCCTCGCGCGGAGGGGGGGGGCCCGATGGCATCAGCCCAGACCCTGGGTCAGATGTGTATGTATGCGTGTATATATATATACGTACCCATAAATGTAAACACGTGCATACATATATGTTTGTGCTTGCACGTGAAGGTCGAGAGTGATCTATCCCCTTGTCGCTTCAGGAAAAGGGCTCAGAAGAACTGTTTGTGCCAACACTGAAGGTTGAGAGAGGCTTATCCCATTGTCACTACAGTGTTCTCTCCGCAGGCCCCTGTTTTTGTGCTCGAAGGGGCCCTCTCGGGGCATGGGCGAGATCGTGCCTGCAGACCGGCCCGAGCGCGCCCTCTATCCCGTGTGGGCCATCCTCGCCGCCGAGGCGGGCCAGCTGGCGCGTGGGCTGCTGGCTGACTGGTGGTCACCTGAGCCCGAGGCGGCTGTGGGAGGCCACGAGCAGGAGGCGTTCGTCTGCCCAGAGGTCACGTGTTCGCCCTGCCAGGTAGCCCCGCCGTGCCCAGAGGTGCCCGACCCGTGGTCGTGTGTGGGGGCATGGGCAAGCACGGTGCTCGTCAGCCAACTGATCTGGTGGTCCGTGAAGGCCCTGTGCGGGCGAGGCCGCCGCAGCCATGGCTCTGCGACGCGGAGGCGGCGTGGTTGCGTGATCTGGTGCCGGGCGGCCTCATCGTGACGACGTTCAAGGATGATGAGGTCGCCCATGAGAGGCTGCTGCTGTGGCCCGTCGACAGGAAAAAGTGGTGCATCATGTCGCCGGACGGAGACGCCTACATCGAGCCAGTCGCGAGAGACGAGGACTGGGGGGTGGCCGACACCATCCCGCTCGACGACGTCGGCACGGTGCCGGCTACCTTCCCAATGAAAGTCTACCGCTTCCGTGAGTACCCGGACGCCGACGGGCTGAGGGAGCTGCTCTGGGACGGGCGAGCGGTGGCGCGCGCCGAGCTCGGGCGCGAGGCCCCGGAGGTGATGACGGTGCTGACCCCCGCGTGCGAGCGGGTGCCGCTGGAGGACTTCGCGCCAGGCCTGCTGGTGACGCGCCAGACGCCGGGGAAGGTCTCCCCGAAGGCAGCCGCTGCCGCCTCGGCGAGGCGGCCCGCCGGACCGGCGGCCGGTCCTGCGGGGAACGACGGCCGCCCCCCGCCGGCGCCGCCACCCGCAGCGCCGTCGGACCAGCTGACGGCCGCGGCCGCCGCGGATGTGGCCGAGGGCTACATCTGGGTGATGGCGGAGCCCACCGGTCGACACACCATCGGCACGGCGATCGACGGCGGCGCGAAGGTGTTGGTGGCGCCTGGCGGCCTCGACGGCCTCGTCAAGCTGGACGACCGCTGGCGGCGCATCGAGGGCATGGCTCCCGAGGCGGTCCCAGGCTATACGAAGCATCGCTCCGACGAGTTAAAGGAGAGCCTGGGGATCGCCAGAGAGGGGCCCGGCTTTGACGAGTCCGACCTTCGGGACCGGCTTGGCAGAGCCTTGCCTGAGGCCCCGGGTGGGACTGCCACTCCCCCGCCAACCGCCGCCGCCGAGGCGGCCGTCGAGACTGGCGACCTGCGGACCATGGTGATCGATTACGACGGCCAGGGCGAGCGCTACAAGTCTTGGAAGCAGGTGGTCCAGGAGAGCAGCAGCGAGACCCACGAATCGCAGCACATGGAGGGCCCCCCGATTGCGCTCCCGATGTCCAAACGTATGCTGCAGACGGGGGGGACCCTCGCTTGTGGCTGCGCGAGTGGATGCGAGAGAAGGGGCTTGCTGGGACGGACCGAGTCGCGCATGAGATGCGGACCCTCGTGGAGTCCCTCTGGCTCGCGGGGACGGTGGACCAGGTCAACATCGGCGGCCTGCTGTGCATCGAGGCGATATGCCGACGCATGGCTGGCATCGTGGCGGCCTATGCCAACCCAGCCAAGCCGCCCTGGGATCTGACTCGCTACTACACTGGCCAGCTGTCGGCCGAGGACGTGGTCGGCCCCGAGATGCGCAGCTTCGTGTCCCGGCGGGCCAAGGAGGACCGCGAGACCGGCGCTGGCGGGCTGCGTGGATCTCCAGCCGAGTGCGGCGCCGGAGGTTCAGCTGGCAGCGGCGCCGACGGCGGAGGCGAAGGCGGGGGAGGTCGTGGCGGTGGAGGTCGTGGCGGGGGCGGGCGCGGACGTGGCGACAAAAGCCGCGGGACTGGCGCCCCCCCCGCCGCAGTATGAGCAGGGGGCTGGCCGAGGAGAGCCCCGGCCTCGGCCGAGCTCTAGGGGCCGCCTCAGGCCGCGTTGCGGCCACTCGAGGGCCACGAGATCTCTTTCCTGCGCCCCTGCTGGACGTGCCGCCGCCGCTGGTGGCCGCCTCGACGGGAGCCGCGAGGGCGAGGCGCAGAGAGCAGCTGGAGATCGGTGTGGCGAATGAGGCGTTCAGTGCACTTAATTGGCTGGCAGGGTATCGAGGGGGTGAGAGGCCCCTTCCCATGGACGATGCCCAGCGGCTTCTTCACGAGCGAGTTCGAGGATTGGCATCGGGCCGGCGCCCCGGACTCCGCTCCCTCAGCGACGGCAGCCCTCAAGCGGATGCTGCGCGGCCACTCACCGTATGAGGCGGGGGTGACCACCACTCGTGTCGCGCCCTTCAAGCTCGACCGCATCTCTTTGCCAAAGTCCGTCCGGAGCTGCCCCTATGCTGATGAGGTAGCCCCACAGGAGGTCGCTAAATACTTGTTGGATTATCAAGAGCGCATGCTGAGGCAAGGTGACATCTTGCCCAAGATCGAGCCATACTTGCACCCCAAACTAAAGTTCCACCATAAAGGAATACCAGCGTCTAGTTCGGAAGTTGTACGACGTCGGCATGGTCGACTGGACTGTGACTCCGAAGTGTCGGATAGGGTTGCTCTGTGCTCTCAAGAGTGATGGCAAGTCGCTCCGACTGATCGTCGACGTGTGAACGAGGTCTTTGCTGACCCACCCGGGGTCGACTTGCTGACGGCCGATGGCTTCAGCCGGGGCGAGGTGGTGCTGCTGGCCGGCATGACGCCACGGAGCCCAGAGACGGTGGAGTACCTCAGCAAGCTCAGGCTCGTGGTGGGCACGTCAGACGTGGCCAACTGCTTCCACTGCCTGAAGCTGAGGCCCGAGATGTCCGCGTACTTCGGGCTGCCCGCGGTCCCGGCGCACGTCTTCGGGCTCGAGGGGACTGTCGCTGGAGGCCGGCACCTGGGTCGAACCTCGCCGGTGTATCCCGTGTGGGCTGTGCTGCCGATGGGATTTACGTGGAGTCTCTGGTTTGCCCAGCGTATAAACGAGCTGCAGACCCTGCGAGGCGCCACCATTCCCCTGGGGGTCCCCCTCCATGATAGGGGGCCGCCCCTGAAGGTGCTGCCATCAGAGACGGCCGCGGGTCAGGCGCAGCACTACGTGCACGTCGACAACCTCGGGATCCTGCGCACCAGGCGCTACGAGGTCGGAGAGGCCATCTCGGATCTACAGCGACACTTTTCCGATTTGGGTCTGGTGCTGCACGAGTCCGCGGTGACCGATGGGGCGTGCAAGACGCTGGGCGTCGAGCTGTTGGGCGAGGGCCTCCGATCGCGAGTGACCTCGGAGCGGTGGTGGCTGATCCGCCGCGCCGTCGAGGCTCTTCTTCGACGCCCGAAGTGCTCGGGCTGGGCGCTGGAGGTGGTGGTCGGTCACTCTCCTACCTTCGCCAGCCTCGCCAATCGGGGACGCCTCTCGGTGTGGCACACGGTGTACGCCTTCATGCACAAGTATGGCGACGGGGCCGGCTACCTCTGGGACGAACGCCAGCAGGAGCTTCGCGCGCTCAAAGAACTCATGCTGTTCCTGGAGAGCGACTGGACGCGGCCGTGGAACCCGATGGTCTTCGAGACGGACAGCTCCGTCGAGGGGATGGGCATCGCCAAGGCCATGTGGGACCCGGAGGATGTCTCCGCCGTGGGCCGGGTGCTGGAGCGCTCGCGCTTCAAGCGGTCTGGGAGCTGCGGAGCCCGCGAGTCTGCCCTGGAGGCCGCAGGCTTCTGGCGTGACATGTCGGGCAAGTGGCAAGTGTCCGACTCGGACGCAGACCCCAGGACCGAAGGCGCCTGGACGCTAGACTCTAGTTGTGCCGAGGTGCCGGCCAGGCTCCTCTCTTCCAGTCTCTGGCGCACTTGCTATGTACGTAAGTGGATGTTCGATGAAAACATTCTTCTGAAGGAAGCACGGGCGGTCCTCGTTGCCGTCAAGCGTCTGGCCATCTTCCAGGGAGCTCACGATCTGAGGCAATTGACTCTAAGTGATAACATGTCAGTCGTCCTTGCTGTCAGTCGTAGTAGGTGTCACGATTTTAGGCTGCTCGTCGTTTTCCGACGCATCCAGGCCGATTGTCTCTCTAGGAACATACAACTTCTGGTCCGCTGGATCCCCTCAGAGTTCAACTTTTCGGACCTGGGCTCCATGTTCAGCGGGCCCGATTCAAGCAATCTTTTGGTAGACGAGCTAGACGCCAGGTTTCGCCGTTTTTGGGGGAAGGAGATGAATAACAATGAGAAGCCCTCTCCCATCTATTTTCCTGACAGCAATGCTCCACCCGTTCTCTCCCCCGCTTCCGCCCCTGGCGGCTCCTCCGTAAACGTCTCGGCTCATACCGTTCTATCTGAAGATGATCCGCTGAGGGGCCCGCGCGATCCGCGCCCACCCCGGCCCCGGGCGAGAGACGCGCCTGACCCGCGAGGACGCTCATGGGAGCCTGGTCGCGCGCCTGACCCCGCGGTCCGCGCGGGAGGAAAGGCTGGAGCTGAGCCCGCCGGCTGTGCGACCATCCGCTGCAGGACGCAAGCGAAAGCAGATAGACGTGTGCGGCTGCAACGAGGTCGACGACAGCGGCAGCACCACGAGCGAGCAGAGCGGAGGCAAGCGCGCCGTTCCGAAGCGGGCGGCGGCGCTGAGGAAGAAGGCCCGCCAGCGGCGGTCGAAGTTCCTCTCCGAGGCGGTGACCAGGGCCATGGATGGCGGGCTCAACTTCCTCGAGGCCAGCAGCGTCACGAAGCCGGTGCGGGAACGGTACGAGAGGGAGGTGACGGAGTTCATCGACTACTGTGACCGCCCCCCGGCCTTGGCGCTGAGATCAGCCGCCCAAGTGGACAAGGCGCTGTCTCAGTATTTCAACTACCAGTTTTTCCAGGGCCACGAGGCAGCCAAGGGAGAGCAGGCCTTAGCAGGCCTCGTGTACTCGAGGCCGGAGTTCGGCAAGTGGGGCTCCCAGAAGCTGCCCAATGCCTGGCGGGCGCTGCGAGGCTGGCGCAAGCGGGCGCCCGCTCGCAGCCGCCGGGCGTGGGCCTTGGGGGTCTCGGCCGCTCTTGCGTGGCGCCTGGACGCGACCCAGGGGCTGCTGATGTGCGTGTTCCTCTTGCTCTCGCTCAGTACGTACTGTCGCCCCGGGGAGCTCATGGGGCTGCGGAGGAGGGGGCTCATCAAGCCAACACCCGGCGTCTCCAAGAGCTGGAGCATCCTCCTCTTCCCCAACGATCGCGTCGAGAGGTCGAAGACGGGCCTGGCGGATGTGTGCATTGCCCTCGACAGCAAGTGAGCGCAATGCTTGACTCCGCCCTGGCCGCTGCTGGCCAAGGGCGATCCCGACGGCCTCGTGTTCACTTTCGAGTACCCGGCCTACATGCGTGCCTTCCAGAGCAGCGTGAAGGAGCTGGGCATAGAGGACAGGATCATCCCCTACCAGACGCGCCACAGCGGACCCTCCATAGATGTGTCGAGGGGCTGGCGCACGGCGGACGAGGTCCAGCGGCGGGGGCAGTGGAAGCAAGTCAGGTCGACGATCCGCTACGAGAAGGGGGCCAGGCTGGGAGAGAGCTGGGCCAGGCTCCACCCGAGGCTCCAAGTCGTCTGCGAGCTGTGCGAAAGACATCTCGCGGACATTGTGCTGCGACGCCCTCATCTGGTCAGCCTTCACCTGCTGGGCGCTGTGGGCGGGGCAAAATCCTCGTCGACTGCTTCGCGGGGAGCGGCACCGTCAGCGCAGCGAGCCTGAGACAGGGGTGCCGGGCCAGAGGGTATGACTCAGCGAGGGGGGCTGACGAGGACTTATGCCGCCGCCGCGTTCGCAAACATATCCAGTGTCAAGTCCTGCGAGGCGAGGTAGTTGCAGCCAGTCTTGCGCCTCCGTGCGGATCCTGGGGTGTAGCTGCCGAGCGCGGGGGCCAAAGGATTCGCTCAAAGAATGAGCCATGGGTGTTGCCATGGAATGATCTGACCCCTCGTCAACGTGAGAGATTGCGCCTTGGCAATCAGACGTTTCGTGCTGCGTTGTGGCTGTTGAGAATGTTCTGTCGCTCACGCATACCTGTTATGATAGAACATCCGATCAATTCACGAATTTGGCATACGCCCGAGCTGATCCGTTTGGCTCGGCAATATAACGGCCTTTGTGTTACTTTAGACCAGTGTGGGTACGGTGCTGGATGGAGAAAGCTAACCAAATTTCTCTTTTTCAATGTGTTCCCCGAGGACCTCTCAAAGCTCTCGAGGCTCTGTCGAGGTTCCAAAAGGGTGCTGCTCCTTTTCCGGGAAACAACATGTTCTCCTAGAGGGTCTGGCCTCTCCGGGGGTAAAATGGACACCTGTCGCTGCCGCCAACCCAAGGAAGCTCGCGGATTTAATGGTACAGACACTTCTAGCTCCCTCTAGGCTCGCGTGTGCTAGCCACTGAGAGAGGTCGCTTTTTGAACGCCCACCCACTACCACCCTGTGAACCATTCGGGCTCGGGGTTGTCAAGTTTGGATCGTGTCACAGCTCTCGCTATGACGGACGATACGCAATAGCAGAATTGTCCACCGCGTGGATAAAGCATGCAGAACTGGTTGTGCTTGCACGTGAAGGTCGAGAGTGATTTATCCCCTTGTCGCTTCAGGAAAAGCGCTCAGAAGAACTGTTTGTGCCAACGCTGAAGGTTGAGAGAGGCTTATCCCATTGTCACTACAATGTTCTCTCCGCAGCCCCCTGTTTTTGTGCTCCCACCCGCCTACAGCTTCGAGTCACTCCAGACTCGCCCAACCCATTTCAATGCAACTCTGGGGTTGTCAAGTTTGGATCGTGTCACAACTCTCGCTATGACGGACGATACGCAGTAGCGGAATTGTTCACCGCCTGGATAAAGCATGCTGAACTATATATATATATAGATAAGAGAGAGAGAGAGAGAGAGAGAGAGAGAGAGAGAGAGAGAGCGAGAGAGAGACAAGGATCTAGAGACCTTTTGGGGCTTCACGGAAGCCGGTCTCACAGGCTCCAGGGAAGCGGATCTCACAGGACCTGGGGACTCCGTTGCCCTGAGACCCGACGTTGCGAAAAACAATCACCATCGCGAAACATCACGACAGCGCGAAACAGTCGGCCTAGACCTCATCTGTTTGCGGCAATTTCCGAGCCTGATCGATCTATGATGGTCCCAGAGTCCGAAGCCGGGCGAAAACGCCCGGTGAAGAAATGCAGCGTCAGGTTCTCAGGGGGTTGTGGGTGGTGGGCACGTGAGCACCTGCTCTGGACGGATGGCGCAATGCAGAGCCCGGTGTTCGAGGCCACAAGCTACAACCTGCGCGCTCGTCCGTCCTCTGCCATCGTCGTCGAACAGCTAAGCGAGTGGACCACGGGAGAACGCACCTCATCCCCAGACCTCTGGCGGCCTGGTAGATTGCGCCCAACCACAAATCAGATCGGGATGGAAGAGACTGGCCGCGGCGAAGGGCTCGAGAGTGCTCGGGCCAGTGACTAGAATAAGCCGAGCCGTAGGAGATCTGAGTGCTCCCCCGCGCCCCACCAACACACACACACATACACACACGCACACATCTGGCTGATGCGGAGCGAACCTTTTCCCAGCCGCTGTTGAGATCATCCGGAACTGACAAACTGACAATCTACAAAGTGAAACCGAGAAGAAGTGCCGATGTGAGCGTCGAGTGGCGCCACAAAATCGGCGGTCAGGAGACTGAACCGGGACGATCAATCTACGAGCCCTGAGCAGCAGCAGTCGCGAGCTAGCCGAGCCTGTGGAAGCTGGCCACCGTCGACGCCTCGGAGCGGGCGACAGAGAGGTCACTCGCCGCAGCCGTTCCTGAGTACCTTCAAGCAAACCGGACCAGACCCACCAGGCGAACTTGTGGGCTCGGACTCCTCTGGAAGCGTGCAGCGAAGCAGAGTCCCCAGGGGAGTCCAGAACAACGGGGGCGGCGGGTAGGTCCGGTCCAGTCCTCAAGGTTACCATGGAGTCTCGGCGGGCTGCAGCCAGCCAGATCCCAGGGGCCCCGTCGATGCTAACTGGCCGCTGGCAACCATGGCAACGGACGCCGCGGCCTGCGACCACGCGTGGCGCTCCTGGCGCGCCGCCCACGCCTGCTCCAGCGAGGCGAGGGCCTCCTCGAGGAGCCTCGGGCGGTCGTCCTCCTCCGCAGCCTGCCAGACGGCGTCCCTGCAGTAGGAAGCAATCAGGTCTTCGCGAGAAAGATCCAAGGCTGTGAAGCTCGAGTGTGGGGCCATGAGGCCGTGTCAGCCCAGATTGAGCACAATATTAAGGAGGATTAAGATGGATTGCGTAAGATGAAGCCAGATTCAACGGATGCTTTTCCCCCCGACGCACAGCATGTCTCGCTGTCTGTAAGCCTCCAGTCCCAGGGCGTGCACCTCAAATCGCCTCTCACGGGAAGCTCACAGATCGTGCAGAGGAGGAGGAGGAAGAGGAGGAGGGGCAAGGGCGGCGCCGTGTGAAGATCCCCTGTGGCCCAAACGGCCACCAACATAAAGTTAAAGCACACACAGCGGCCATCCAGGAGGGAGGAGCGAGGAGGAAAGCAAAGGGGAAAGCGCGCACGACAGGCAGCAACGGACAGGGGCGGGCATAGCGATAGAAAAAAACGCCCATATCCCACCAGCCCTCTGGGCGTCGGTGGTTTAAGGAGTTTCCTCTTCCATCCCTCCCTCTTCCCCTTCTGGGAGGGGTTTACCCTTCCCCCTACCCCCTCCCCACTGACCTGGACAGGGGGTTCCGCGGCGCGTTGGAGCGCCCAAAATCGACCCCTGGGAGGGCTAAAATTCGACACCCCTCACGAGGATCGTGGCTCTTGAGGGGGGGGCTGAAATTTAGGAACCCCTCTTCTTTGATCGATTTCCTCCACGATGGCCGCAAGAGGCCCCCAGGATGCCCCAAGAGGCCGCAGGATGGCCCCAAGATGGCCCCAAGAGGCCCCCCAAGAGGCCCCCAGGAGGCCCCCAAGAGACCCCCAAGAGGCCCCAAGAGACCCCCCAGAGGCACCCAAGGTGCTCCCAGAGGCCCCAAGATGGCCCCAAGAGGCCCCAAGAGGCCCCCAGGAGGCCCCAAAGAGGATTCCGAACGGCCCACAGAGGCCCCCCCGAGGCACCCAAGACGCCGAAAAGCCCCTCAGGACGACCCTCTACTCGCCTGGGCGTCGTTTCTGGACGGGCTGGTGGGGATACGTACGCGAAGCGTCTAGAATTCCTATCAGCCCTGCGGCGCTCGCGTGGACGGGAAGCACAGAGAGAGAGAGAGAGAGAGAGCGAGAGAGAGAGAGAGAGCGAGAGAGAGAGAGAGAGAGATCATAACAACAATGGCCGCGACCTCTTCACAGCACGAGGCTCCACAAGTCGGAAGACCAACTACATAACTACAGTACAAAGCGAAGTATCGCAGGGAGCGCAGCGCCGCACCCAACAGTCACTAAGGTCTCTAGAATGGCTGTATCGTGCAAGGCCCCCAGGCCCCGCAGGCGTGCACGCCCGGAGCAGAACCTAGCACGCGCGGGCTGGCCCGCGGACGCACGACGAAATTACAAAAAAACTCAGAACACTTAGGCATGCACCAGGGGGCGAGAGAGAGAGAGAGAACAAGAGAACCAGAGAGGCGAGGGGCGTGGAACTAAACAATGCACAACTACCATTCCTCAGCAAGCAGTATGAGTGAACACTCTAGCAACGCCAACAAACTGCCCTGTGCGAAACCTGAGGCCACTAACAGGGACGCCACCCCCCCAAAGGGGGCCGCAAGCCGGCGTGGGGCCCCCAGGGGGGAGCGCGAGGGCGGCGCCAGTGGGCAGCCAGCCGCTCCGATGGCCACCTGCTGTCCCGGCCGCGTGGCCGATGCTGAGGCCACCGAAGCACGCTAGTGCCGGCACAGCCCAAGGAAAGGACAAAGGAAGAAGAGGGGGAGGGGGGCAAACCCGAGGCCAGTGAATGCTCGCGCCGCGCGTCCCGGCCTCCAGCCGCCCAGATAGCCTGGGACTCTTCGTCCGGCCTGCCTGGATCGCCAGTGTGACACCCGCCTCAGAACTTCATCCCGAATCCGTGCTGCTCCAGGTCGTGCGGCTGGTACCCATCGAGCCGCCCAAAGTCGTGCGGCAAGAACCCGTAGTGCACGGCGTAGCCACGGGCACGACAACCGCTCCTGAGGTCAGATCCTGATGGGAGCCTGGGGCTGCACAGCGCTGCTGGGGTTTGGTGCTGCTGGCGAGCTGCCTGGCAGGTAGGATAGCTGACTCGGGCGCTGCCCTCGCCTGTCTGCTCATCGGAGTACTGCTGCAATCCGCCATGCTCGACAGAGTCGTGCTGCCCAGCGTCGGCGTTCCCGCTGCCGAGCAGCATGGCGTTCGTGCTGGCGTCAGTGCTGGTGTCGGCGCTGATGTATGCTGGTGGCGATGCTGACTCCGCCGCTGGCGTAAGCGCCGTCGTCTGTGCTGGCGTCGGTTCTGCTGTAGGCGTCGGCGTTGGTGCTGGCGACGGGGATGGCATCGGTGCTGGTACAGGCGCTGGCGTTGGTGCCAGCGCAGGCGCCGGCGTTCGTGCTGGCATCAGTGCTGGCGTCGGCGCTGGTGTAGGCCTAGGCGCTGGCGTGGGTGCCGCTACAATCGCAGGCGTTCCTGCTGGCGTCGGTGCTTGCGTCGGTGCTGATGTAGGCATCGGCGTTGGTGCTGACGTCGGTGCTGACCTCGGTGCTGGTGTAGGCGCTGGCGTTGGCGGCGGCGCAGGCGCCGGTGTTCGTGCTGGCGTCAGTGCTGGCGTCGGCGCTGGTGTAAGCGTTGGCGTCAGCGCTGGTGTAAGCGCTGGCGTCGGTGTTGGTATCCGTTGAATCTGAAGCCAGATTCAACGGATGCGGGATTACGCCGGTTTTCGACCCGGGATGGTTTTCGACCAGGGATATGCCAGCGCCTATTCTGAATTCAACCTCCCAGAAGATGAATTGTAACCTGCAGATGAGGCAGCGGGCGACGTGCGCGCGGTGCGACACAGGCACGTGCACCCTGGCCGCGCCCGCGGGGAAGACCTGAGAAGAAGCCAGAACTGGGACAACACCGGACCAGGACAGATCACGTATCCCTGAGATCCGGCGGTTCTGGAAGATGCATCGGGCGCCGCGGCCGTTCCAGAGCGCTCCGGAGCGCTCGGAGAGGCTTCCAGAACGCTCTGGAGCCGATTACCCCCGTCCTGGCCCCGCCAGAGGACCGTGCGCAGCAGCTCCCTCGCCACCTCGGGCACGTCGACGTGCTGGCACAGCGCGTCCAGCGCCACCGCGGACAGGGGCGCCGGCAGCCCACACGACGCGCAGAGGCGCAGCAGCTGCAACAACATGCTCGGGTCGCCCCTGAAGGGGCAGTCCGTGTCTCCCGTGTACAGGAAGCGCAGGGCGAACAGCGCCACCTGGAGAAGATGGAGAGATCTTCACGTACACCGATCCTGGCCAGGCCCACCCTGGGCCCAGAATCGGTGCAGTACGCGCTCCTGGCATGGCCAGGCAAGCATCTCGACGGACCCTGGGCCCAGGATCGGTACATTACGCCTGCCTGGCTCGGCAGGGGAGGCGACTACACCGACTCTGGGCCCAGGATGGACCTAGCCAGGAGCGGGTGCACAGTTCTCTTCGCCCGAGCCTCGGCGCTGCTGCACTGCTGGTCGTCCAGCGCCAGCAGGACGGCACTGCTCGCGCCTCCCGCACCATCTGGCAGCGCTGCGCCGAGCAGCACCCGGTGCCACACGGTGGAGCTCGTGGCCAGGACGATGCTTGGCGGCGCCCGCAAGGGGGTGGCGCGAGGGGGCCCCGAAGACTTCTGGCCAGGCTTGTTCGAAACACGCACACACACAAACACAAACACCCGTCGCGCCACCCCAGCGTGGGCGCCGCCAAAATGCGGTGCACGTGGAAGTCGACCCGGCCACGGGCCGCGTCGTCGACGGTCACGACCGCGTCGGAGAGCGGCGGCCGCTGGCCTGCGGCGAGCGGCTGGAAGGAGCGGAGCGGGCACCACGAGGGCATGCGCGATGCGGAGGCGTCCAGAGGCTGGAGCAGATCCGGCACGCCCAGGCTGTCCATGGCGCTCTCCAGCATCTGGCATGGAGTCAGACCCTCGTTGTCCTCGGCGACGAGGAGCGAGTCGAAGCTGCGCGCTGCGAGGAAGCGGAGGACCCAGAAGTTCGGGCGCGAAGCCGCGGTGTGGGCGATCGTCTGTCCTCGCTTATTCCTGTGTGCCTTCAGTCCGTCCGGAACCTGGTCGAACAAAGCGGCAAAGAGCGCCTCGGCATTCGACGTGAAATTCGCAAGCCCGGCTGCCAAGTGCAGCAGGGAATTGCCGCTCCGCTGGTGCTGCTCCCCGAGGCACACGCCGTACGACGTGCCGGGCGGAAAGTGCCGGAGGAGCAGCAGGGCCACGTCCACCCGCTGGAACGCCAAGGCATCCCAGAAGACCGTGTGGCCCTGCGGGTCCTCGGCGCGCCCAGACACCAACCCGCCGTGCTGGATCACCGCCTGGACCGTGCGCGAGTCGCCGTCCATGACGGCCTTCCACAGCAGCTCCGGCACCGCCAGCCGCGCGCCGCGGGCCTGCCCAGGCCGAGAGCCGACCGCCTCTGCGGAGATCCCGCTGGCCAGGTCCCCGATCTCCTGCAGGTGCTGGGCCGCGCCGATCGCGACGCTGAAGCCCTGCAGCTCCCTCTGCCTGGTGCCGCGCTGCAGCAGCGCCTCCGTCGGCTACACGCCAGAGTGACCCCAGGCAGTAGCGACCTTTCGTGCGTGGCTTGAAGGGGGCGGGGGGGGGGGCAGATGATCCAGGCACGCAAGCCAGTGCTGGGGGGACCCCTGTGGGCTCGTTCTACAGGCCACTCTGGAGAACGGCCGCTCTTGCGTGCAGCTGACCTCCAGCCGCCTCGCCGCCACGACGTCCGGCGCCCCCCGCAGGAGGCCCATCGCCTTGTCCAGCAGGGCGGACACCATGGGCCCCGCGGACGTGGCACGCCTCTCGAGGCCCACGTCCAGCCTCAGGGCGCCCCCCTGCAGCCGGCAGAGCTGGCACCACCCGGCCATGACCTGCTCGAGCGCACCGGTCAGCGCTGGGAGGGCCGCCTGCTCGTTGGCAATGGCCTGCTTCGCGCCCTCCTCTGAAGGGCCAACGTTGTGGGGGGGGGCTGGCTCAGGAAGGAGAGCACCGACCTGGACTCGGCAATACATCGCCGATAAATCGGCGGCCTCGATTTCGAATCCGCATGGTCATGGGCGGGGCGGGCCATCGGGCCCGTATCGGCGATCCATGGGCGATTGGGGGTCGATGCCTCCCCCCCCTGAGCCTGTCCCCCTAGCCCCGACGCTGCCCGTGATCCTCGCAACGCTCCCAGACCTCAAGACAGGACAAGGCATCCCGCATCTGGCGGATCGCCTGAGACGGCCAGCCTACCTGCTCCAGCTCCGCCTCCGACAGGCGCGTGCGCGCCAGCACGCCCTCTGCGGCCTGCAGGATCTGCTGAACCTCCAGGGGGCGCACCTGCGTACGCCCCATGGCCTCGCCCACCGCGCTACGCAGCCCCCACACCTCCAGAGGAAGAACCAGCATCGTCTGCAAAAACAAAAGCGTTCGGAGCTCCGCACGGATTTCTTGGATCTGCGCTGGACCCCCCTCCCTGGCGCGCGGAGCGCGCCAAGGGCGGCGCCGGAGGCGCCGCCAGGGGGTCCCAGCGCAGATCCAGGCAATCCGCGAGGAGCTCCGAAAGCTTAGGTCATCTATGCAGCTTTCTTTGTCGTCGAACCTCGTGGGAGGCGTCAGCGAGCCTGTCCATTAGCACCGCCTCCCTGGCCTTCTCGGGGGTCTGCTGACCCGGGTCAATGCAAACCCGGGGCAGTCAGGCCCTGCAGAATCCTGAAAAATCCTGCAGGATCCTGCAGGATCCTGCACCCAAGCCCGGGTCAAGACGACCCTGGCCCTGCAGGACCCTGCAAGATCTGGCGCTCTGACTGACCCCCGTTTGCACTGACCCCCGTCTCTTGAGCCCCGACCTTCGGGAACGGGTCCTGCACCAGCGCTGGGCTCGCCCTCTGCGCCGCGGCGCCCCGCTCCGGCGCCGCGCGGTCCGTGGCGGGGGGCGGGCGCTTCACGTGGGTCCCGAAGTAGGAGGAGCTGCTCATGTCCGCGCCCGCATCGGCAGGGTGCCTCTCGGGGCCCCAAGGACGGTATGGTGACACGCCGTGTGGTTAGAGGCCTCCTAGACAGGGTAGGAGTAGATGGGGTCGGAGGATCGCGCCGCATCGCCAATACATCGGCGATACATCGCCGATGCATCGGCGACATCGGCGATGCATCGGCGACGCCAGCGTGGAGAAAATCGGGCTCCAAATCGAGCCGCATTGCAGATGCATCGACGATACGATGCCATCCTCCGACCCCATCTAATTACTCGGACCCCATCTAGGGGACCTAGAGTGGTGACCTCGGAACCCCAAAAGACCTGACCGTGCAGTCCGTCACCACACGGCCAGGGGGCCCTGGAGGCGCCGGTCGCCCGAGATGTCCCTGGGGAACGACCCGAGTACCAAAACCGTGCGGTGACCCCAGACCCCCACCGACTCACCAAACGGTGTGGTCACCACACCGTCTGGGGGCCCCCGGTACCTCGCCGACGGCAGCCCGTCCTCGCCGTCGCGCCTGCGGGGAGCACCTGTGGACCACGGAAAGAGGAGGCATACCGGCGCCGCTGCTCCCCCGGGGTGGCGCCCCGACCTGGAGTCCGAGGTGCGCCCCACTGCGGCGACGATGGCCCTCCTGGGAAGCCCACAGGGGCGAGGAGGAGGGTGTGCTCTTCTCCTCTGGGCCTCGCACGTCGCCCGAGGCGGCCGCCAGGCCCTCCGACGCGGCCAGCAGCTCCTCGGCGGACACGCGGCTTGCCAGCCTGTGCGAGCCAGAGGCGCCGAAGTCGTCGAAAGCACCGCCGCTGGTGCTGGCAGGACTCGCCGGCTCGGTGTCTGGGGCCATCGCCCCCGCGGCGTCGATGGTGGCGTCCGTGGCGTCCGAGAAGGGGGACGGGGCGCTCTGGCCCGCCTCCTCCGCCTGGGCAGGGCGGGCGACAGCTGCGCGGCCGAGGGCCGGGCCTGGCCAGGCCAGGCCCCCGGGGGCCGGGATCGGTGTCTGTGCCCTCCTGGCTCAGCCTGGGCGGCGCAACCGCCGACCTTGGGACCTAGGATGGGCCTGGCCAAACTCGCTGTCGGCGCACGCGTGTCGCCGGCCGACCACAACCGCCGCGGCCGCCATGGCCGCGCTCGCGTCGCGTGCGGCGGCGGGGGGGCGGCCCGCGCTCCCAGAATGCTGGCGGACCGGTTTTCCTGTCCTGGCGATTTTCCCTCCACGATCTCGGTGGTCCAGGCAAGGGTGGGCGCTGCCCCCCACTGGCAAGGATGGCTTCGGGTATGGAGAGAGTCGGCGATGTACCGCCGATACGTCGGCGATAGGCCCTGGTAGAGAATCAGCACGCTCCTGGGCGGGATGTGCTATCAAGATCCAATCGGCGATCACTGGGCGATTGTGGGTTGATGCGTTCCCCCTGAGCCTACCACCCCTCACGCTGCCACTGATGCCTGATGGCCCATGCGTTGAACAAACAAGAGAACAACAATCCGCCTGATGTCGGCGCTTGCTCCCGCAAACCAGCTGCCAGGGCGCGGGACCGCCGCATGGCCCTGAGCCAGAAGATTGGGTGCACTGTCTCAGAGGCAGAGCGAGCGAGCGAGCGAGCGAGCGAGGAGGAGGAAGAGTTCCACATTGGGAGGGGCTCGAAGCATACACCAAGTCGTCTGGTCGGAAAAAGTGCTCGGTGTATAGACGCCCAAGCTTCCCAACCTGTGGGATGCTGGAGCGCCCATACACCGAATTCCTTCGCCGAGCTCCTTGGCTCCTTGGCCGACCAAACAACGTGGTACATGTATCGAGTCCTCCAACACATGGTGGCGGAAGCAGGGCATCGGAAGGGCCAGCCAGCGCCATCGCCGCAAGAGGCCAGACAAGAGCAACAATCAAAGAATAACACCTCTAGACTCGACGCTTGAATGAGGCGGCTTGGCATGCCTCGGCCGCGGGCGCATCGCGAGACACACCGTCTGTCCGAGTGCCACACGCGGCAGAGAGGAGGGAGGGGAGGGGATGGAAGAGACGGAGGTGGAAGAGCAGGATAGGAGGAGGAGGAGCAGCTGTTGTGAATTGTGTAATAAAAAAAAACGGTGTCCCCAGACATCTGGACACCTCCCCGGGGGCCCGCTTCTCATCCTGCATTGTTTTCAAACGGTTCTGTTGCCCGAAAACGGCCCTCGAGTGCCAAAAACAAGGACAAATATATGTCTTCATTTTTGTCACGACGCTGGACGTCTGGGACTCGAAAGTCGGAGGCCAGGGCAATGGGCCCTCTGGTGCGGGGCCGGAGGTCGGAAGGGAGCGGCCCGATTCATTCTCTCGCGCAGCGCTGCAGCACTGCCCTTCGTGCACCAGGACGGGGCAAACCCTGCAGCCCCTCTCGTCATTCTTTGCTTTTATGTTCAATTTATTTCGGTCGCCGTCGCTGTCGTCCTTCCAGAGCTCCCCTTGAGCCCCAGAGCTCCGCCCCCACCCACCAACCCGGAACCCTCCAGAGCACCCTGGGGCCCAGTGGAGCCCCCATCGGCCCGCTCTGACACCCCCTCTCCTCCTCCTCCTCCTCCTCCTCCTCCTCCTCCTCCTCCTTCTCCTCCTCCTCCTCCTCCTTTCTCCCTCCTCCTCTCCTCTCTCCCTCCTTCTCCTCCTCCTCGTCCTCCTCCTTCTCCTCCTCCTCCTCCTCCTCCCTCTCCTCCTCCTCCTCCCTCCTCCTCCTCCTCCTCCTCCTCCTCCTCCTCCTCCTCCTCCTCCTCCTCCATGATACCCACTCTTTCGACCGCACGCGGACGCAATAGCTTAGGTCGGAGACAGAGTCAAGCAACGGGATGAAGTCCGCTAGAGTGTCGGGTGCAGTGGTGGTACTCCCTCTCAAGCTCGTCCTCTATCTGCTTCCTCATCCTTCTCCTGCCCCCCTCATCCTGCCCAACCTTCTAACCCTCCTCCGCTCTCCCTAGCCTCGTCCCCGCGACCCTTTCCCCGTCCTCCTCCCCTCCTCATGTTTCCGTGCTCCTGCTCTCCAGTGACTCCTCACCCTCCTTCTCCTCCTCCTCATCCTCCTCCGCCTCCTCCTCTCCTCCTCCTTGGCCATGTCCGAATATCTTTGATGTTTTGCACCGCGCACTTGGAAGTGGTGTTGCAGTGCAGCGCATTTCTTCTTTCATGTCAAGGGACGGTAGCGATGGTCAAGACCGCCAGCACGTCAGAGCGTGGGTGTGCAGAAGTGCCGCTTCCAGAACTCCGGATTCCGTGCAGAGTGCAAGCAGTGTGGATGCAAAGCCCCACAGCATGTGCGCAATCAGCAGAAGAAACAGCCCACGTGAGGACCAGCGTCCCACCTCCAGGGTCAGTAGCACAAACGTCCCTCACGTTCCACCTAGGTCGACAGCGTCACCGCCAAGGGCGAGCCCACCACCGACCAGATCCTGGACATCCAGTCCAAGAAGAGCGTCCTGGACGGGGAAGCCATGGCTGGAGTCCTGAAGGAAGTCAGAGTCGCCCTGGCCGCCGCCGAGGCAGCTGCGGACGCCCCCACTGACCAGTCCAGCAATGGCCTCCAGGACTTGCTCCAGCGCGAGCCCCGCAAGAACAGACAGCTCGAGGCCGCCAAGGCCAGAGTCGCAGCGACGGCAGAGGTCCTTGCCTTGAGGTCCTTGGAGGATGCTGGCCCCTGTAGGGCTGGGCGTTTCGGGCCCCCTGGACCCCTTGGACGCACTCCCTGGAATCACAATCACAATCGAATCCATAGACAAAGCCTTGAAGTCTTTATCCTGCAGGAGCAGGGTTAGACTGGGAACGCCTTCATCCGCCCCAGCTGCTCTGGCTTCCAGTCTATGATATGCAAGCGTTCATTGATATCCTTCTGAGGCGGGAGGATGACCCCGAACCTCTGGACCTCTGGACCCTTCTATTCCCAACCATCCTGTGGTGTTGCGTCCTCGTTTTGAAGAGACTTCGCCCCGCGTCCTCCTCCTCTCCTCCTCCTCTTCCTCCTCCTCCTCCTCATCCTCCCCCTCCTCTCCCTCCTCCCTCCTTCCATCCTCGGGCGTTGGCAGAACTGGGTTAGTGGGACCTGGTTTAGTGATGTGTACTGGGGAACGCCCCCCCCCGCCCTGTTCCACTAACAGGAACTGCCGTCATCCGAAGAACACAAACTACGGCAAACCTGGTTTGGTGGTTCCAATCCATATTTTGGGCTTCGGGGCCCAATCACGAACCGGGTCCCCTTACCTGGGGTCCTGGCTATACCCGACATCCGTGCCTTTGCCCTCCGCGCTTTCTCTGCCCTCCGTATTTCTATATATATATACATATATATATGTATGTATACACTTCACTAACACACTTTTCGTGCCCTCACAGGGGGCTCCAGCGAATGCCCAACTGTCAGAGCCGCATGGCGTCGCCGCCTCATTCCGCCATATGGAGCTCTATATGAGGCTTAACTTCCAGGGTCCGCACGGCGTCGCCGCCTCATTCCGGCACAGCCCTTGCACGCTTCGTGCCGACATAGGGAGCTCCAACTAAGGCCCAACTTCCTTGGTCCGCATGGCGTCGCCGCCTCATTTCGGCACAGCCCTCAAACGTTTCGTGCCCACACAGGGAGCTCGGGTCAATGCGGTGCCGCCTCATTTCGGCACACGGCTCACACGCTTCGTGCCCCAATAGGGAGCTCCAGCGAAGGCCCAACTGCCAGGGTCCGCATGGCGTCGCAGCCTCATTTCGGCACAGCCCTTGCACGCTTCGTGCCCCCACTGGGAGCTCCATCTGGGGCCCAAATGCCAGGGTCCGCGTGGCGTCGCCGCCTCATTTCGACAAATCCCTCACACGCTTCGAGCCCTCACATGGAGCTCCAGCGAAGCACCAAATACTAGGGTCGCATGGTGTCGCCGCCTCATTTCGGCAAAGCGCTCACACGCACGCTTCGTGCCCCCGCAGGGAGCTCCATCTGGGGCCCAAATGCCAGGGTCCGAATGGCGTCGCCGCCTCATTTCGGCACGGCACTCACACGTTTCGTGCCGCCACGGGGTCCGAATGGCGTCGCCGCTTCATTCGGGCACCCCCCTCATACGTTTCTTGCAACGCAGGGAGCTCCAACTAAGGCCCACATGCCAGGGTCCGCATGGCGTCGCCGCCTCATTTCGGCACAGCCTTCATCCGTTTCGTACGCCACAGGGAGCTCCATCTGGGGCCAAAATGCCAGGGTCCGCATGGCGTCGCCGCCTCACTTCGGCACAGCACTCACACGTTTCGTGCCGCCACTGGGAGCATCATCTGAGGCCCACACGGCAGGGTCCGAATGGCGTCGCTGCCTCATTTTGGGCACACCCCTCACACATTTCGTGCCCACACAGGGAGCTCCAGCGAAGTTCCAACTGCCAAGGTCCGCATAGCGTCCTCGCCTCATTCGGTCACAACCTTCACACGTTTCGTGGTCCCTAAAAGAGATCCGCCGGAGCCGACACTCACAATGATGGCGCGCACAACTGCACGTGGTTGGATCTTTGGCGTGGGTGTTGCCCTTCGTTGGGAAACTTGCGCCACCGGGCGGGGGCAGGCCCACTGCGCTGGCCTCGGTCTGTGGCAGGGTTTGGTCAAGGCTTCCAGAGCCTGTGGCCAGAAACTGGGAGCTCTCTCTTTCTCTCTGGGCAATTCGGCCTTTCGGGGATCCTCAGGTCTCACCTGCGATCGAGCAGGGCATGTACACATCATTCTGCATAGATGCAGGGCGTGGCCCTCGCAAGATTGCTTGCGAACACCTGGGTCTGAGCAATTCACAGCAGCCATGATGGACCTTGCCTCAGGACTTGGAAGCAAGCTTCTCGAAGTCAGTCAACGGGGGCAAGACTGGATATGTGACCAGCACGCCGGGCTTCGGTCAGGAGTTGCGTAGTCGATGGGGGCTTTGTTCCAACCAGCGCATGCTGGCAGGCAGGTGTCAAACTACTCTTGCTGACAGTGGAGGCTCGAGTCGTGTGCTGTCCACGGGGAGTTTAGTTTGACTCGGTTCTCGCCTGGGTTCGTCATGGACCTAGCCCGGCAGGCAGCGCTGGCAGCCTCCGATGTGATTGCTCTTCGTAGGATGGTGGGTGCTTGAACCTCACCTCTTCATTGGGTCCTTGTCGCTGCGGTGC